AGGGGACGGGGGTGGGGCGGCGGTTCCACGGGGAAAGCGGCTTTTTATGCTAAAGCTTCCCCGGTTTTAGGGCTTTCCTGTCAAAAGTGCCCTCGGGGGCACCCGTGCGGGTCCAGGAGGCTCGGCTTCTGAATCTCCACCCCTTTCCTGTGCTCGCTCCTTCCACAGCACAGCACAACTGTCCGGGGGAGTGAAAATCTGCAAGGAAAAGGTTTTTCCTTTGCATTTTGCATTTGACCTGGCCTGGGGATTCTGCCCAGTTGCTGTGGAGGCATCTTAGGAGAGAGGGAGAAGAACAAGCTCAGGAATTCCTTGCTTGTGAAGTTCCTCTGCAATTACACCACAAAATAAAATCTGTTGCAAATATTATGTAGAATCCACTAATCTCTGCTTTTCCCAGCTTTTAAACGGAGGGATGTTAGTAGTGCAGGAGCAGTTGTGGGAAAATTCAGTTCCCAGTTCCAAGAGGGTTGTGTTGTGATGGCACCACTTGTCTATGTCCTGTTGTGCAGAGCCTGGGTCAGCATTTTGACCTGGCCTGTGTCAGGGGAGCAGAGGTTTTTATTTCACATGGCACGTATTTTACTTCCTGCTGCTGCTCTTCTTTCCTTTTCAGCATTTTAATTAAACCAGAACAGCAACTGCTGCAGAGGACAAAAGCCATTCTCTGCCTGGCTCTGGCACATTTCAATAAAATACATTTGAGTGGATGCATTTTCTGGTGTTCTGCAATTGCTCAAAGCACAATGGAATGATGTGGCATGTAGCCTGTTTTCTTGGGGGGGAGGGAAAATGATGACACAACCTCTCTGCTGTTTCTGTCTCCAGTGAGTACAGAGGCCTGGTCAGACACACAGGAGGCTGTCACTGTGGAGCCATCCGCTTTGAGGTCTGGGCATCAGCAGATCTGCATGTTTTTAACTGCAAGTGAGTTGGGTTTTTTTGTTCCCTGATCTCACAGATGGATATAAGCTGGTGTTCTTTTCCAATCCGTACCTTGGAGCTAAAAGGTGACACAACTGGAGAACATCCTCTGAGCTGTTTCCATAGGGTATGCTCCTAACCATGTCCTGATCCATGTAGGATCAATGCTGGTGATTTCAGGTGCTGCTTTGGGCAGGACTTCAGGTCTCATCCATGCTCACACAGAAGGTGTCAGGAGAGATCTCATGAGTGCAGGTGCTCACCATCTGCTTTATGTTTCCTCTCAGTGCCCTGTGCTCAAAGCACATCTATCCTTTTTTAACTTGGTCTTCTCAAGTGAACAACATTATTACATCTCTGACCACATGTGCTTTGAACTACAACACTGATTTCAACAGTGATTCCCCCTTTGCCTGCAACTAGTTTGCTTCTAGCTCACAGGTAAACTTCTGAACCTGATTTTCTTGCTTGCAGGGAAATTAATGTTGGCAAAACTGGCAAAGTCTGGTCTGAAAGATTAAATGGATTTCTCAGGCTAGAGCTTGTGCTTCTTATGTTTGTTGAGAGCTATGTATGTGAAGAAAAAATGGCATCTAATGTTTGGTGTAGGAGAATATCTCATTGGTGTACAGCAGGGTCAGGCTGTTCCATAGTTCTGCTCAGCCAGGCACCACTGACACCATTTTGCTGCTCCTCTCTGTGACACTAACCAGCTGGCAGGGGCGTTTCTGTTGTCAAGAGGTCCATGCTACATCTGATGGCTGTTCTACAACTTGTCTGCTGCTTCTAGAAAGGTCTGCTTTTTCTTTTGCAGTTGCAGCATTTGCACAAAGAAACAGAACAGACACTTCATTGTCCCAGCGTCCCGTTTCAAGCTGCTGAAGGTAGAGTAAGAATGCAGGAAGAGCATGGCCTTGAACACGAGCAGTGTTATCCTCAGAGATACAAGTGGCAGCCAGTTTTCTGTCCTAAGTTTGCCTCTGGCTGGCTGGGGGAGATGGCTGAACTGTATGCTGTCTGGTGTGGGTGTGTTAGTGCATCTTCTTTAGTGAGCTGACAGTTCCTGCAGTTGCCAGGCTTGACACCCAAAGCCCAGGGGCTCAGAAAAGGAGCACAGTTGCAGAACTCTGCATCTCAAAGCTGTGAAGGTGGTATTTTAAATTTTACATTTCTCAACTATAGGCCCACAGAAAGTTATTTATGCATCTATGTGGAAAACTGACATTGCTTTTCATGTGCCTAGGGTGCTGATAATTTGACCACATACACCTTCAACACACACCGTGCCCAGCACACGTTCTGCAAGACCTGTGGTGTGCAGAGCTTTTATACTCCTCGTTCAAATCCAGATGGCTATGGTAGGTAGAAAGAGTAAACTGTGGTAACCAAAGCTAACCACCAAACAAACCTTGGATAAAAACTTCACTGGCTACTAACATGACTAACATGGCTACTAGCATGAGCCTTAACAGTTTGTTCCTAAAATGCTAAACGATCTGGAACTGCACTATGAACCTGTAGCTCCTCCATAAGCAACAGTTTTCCCTGTGACATGTGGGCTTCTGCTCATGACAGGTTTCTCATCTAGGCTCCTCAGCCTTACAGCAATAGCTGGAGGGAGCTCCTACCATTCCCTGAGGTGCCCCATCCACAGAGTGGTGCAGGCATCTCCCACACTTCAGCTATGACAAGCAGGTTTCTATGCACTCTTTCTCCAGGAATAGCTCCCCATTGTCTGGATGATGGCACCGTGCAGACCATTGTCACAGAGGATATCAATGGCAAGGAATGGGAGAAGGCAGTGAAGGAACATAAGACCATCAGAGACATGTCAAAACCATGACACATCCTTCCAGCAACTGACCTTGGAGTAGTGCCATGGAACTCTAGTCTGGGCTTTCCTGGGTGAGGGCTGGCAAAGTTAATATCTACATTATTTTTAACAGTTCTGTTTCTTAAATAAATCTTTCTATGCTGCCTGTCCCATTAATTCCTGACTTCCAGTCTTCAGACTATCTCTGTCCCATGAACAGCCTCAGGGCTGCTATTTTGGTACTTTGCCCTTAGCTGTGCTAAAGTTTAAATCACAATAAACAGAGCAAAGTACAAAAAAAAAGGAAAAATCTAATCTTTGCTTGTATGGATATTTCCTGTGTTTCAAGTCTGGCTTACAAAAACGTTCTATGTAAGATAATCTCTTGCTTAGGACATAATACTAACTTACACTGTTTTTTCTCCATTGACTTCAATAAATTGACCATGAATTTAGAGTTAAAGAGGATTTGAAAGAGCTTAGCAGGCTCAAGTTCAGTAAAACACAGGCTCAAGTTCAGTAAAGCATTTACACAGGTGCTTAGCTCTGCAAGAGAGGGGCCACTGAAGTTATTAATGTGGTTAAATTCTGTTTTGCTTAGGCCTGGGCTTACTCATGGTTTTAAGGCTGAGTAGGCATGAGCTGAGGGACTCATGGCCAGGGAACAAATTTCAACACTGTTACAATCTTACAACAATGGGTTGTACTTCAGTACAACCAGGAACTTTGTTATCTTCAGGGGAGGATGTGCTCACAGCAACAGATCAGGATCTGGTAGTTTGAGCTCTGACCTTGCCTATGCAATGATTTGCTGTGTATATGCAGGAAAGATGCCACCTGTAAACATGAGCTCACATGAGTGAGTGCAAAGGCCTACAAAAATGCTGAATATTGCTGACTTTGCTCCACGATCATCCCACAGAAATCCAAATCACTAGTGAAATCTCCGTATAGGCTAAAAAATTAAACAACTGAAAACTTGTTCACTTACCTTCGAACATGAAGGGAGAAGATCTTTTAACTGTTGCACTTCTCTTTGAAACACCTCTTGCAATTTTTGTATCTGCCTATGTTCTAGAAAAGACCTGTTTACAGTCTTGCACCTCATTCTAACATCTTGTTGAGACTCTTGTGAATTGATCTCAAGCCCCATGTTCTCATGAGGGAGCCTGTGACACAATGTGTATGGAAGAAGCAGCAGTAACAGCAAAGATCAGTGGAATTAGAGAAGTGTGTATGAATTCTGATGTTTTATTCATAAGCTTTGGCTTTTTAAAGTTCTGACTGAGCAAGACAGGTCTTGTGGTTTGGTTTAATCTATGGAGATAGCATGATCTTTGAAAAGTCACTCCTGATATCTGGATTATACAAAAGCACCAAGAGATAGTTGCTAAGCTGGCCTTGCAGCTATTTCCTCTTGAGGAAAAACAGTTTGTGCCATATCTTCTCTGATGCAGAACACTCCTGCATTTGACTCCTAATTACGCTAATCCAAATGTCATATTTAAGCTTCTTGCCTGTTCATCTCAATGTCTCAGGCAACAAGATCTTCAGAAGGCAGTTCATACAGCCTGTTTTTTGTAGTCTGACAGAATGCTACACAAAAAGAATCCTGTCCTCTTGAACATGTAGCAGGTGAGTTTTCTTTAGTCCTGGGCCTGGCACAGTCCTTTCTTGACTCGTTCCTTTCTTCCTGAAGCTGTGAGGCCCTCTCTTCTACAGGAGGCGGAGTGAGTTGATCACCATGTACCGTGAGCAGAGCAGGTAGATGTGGCGGAACCAGAGGAGCTGGCTGCGATGGCACCGCATGGCTCTCTAGGACAAAGAGTTGAGAAAGCATTACAGGAACCATCCAGACACAATGTGAGGGCAGTTCCTAGGCCTCCTGTGAGCTTCACTGCCAATTTCCAGGACAGCCTATTTTCAGTGGCCAGGGCAGAAACAGTGGGAGGTGGGAGGCTGCCTGCTCTATGGGCCAATGGGCAGGGAGAGGCCTGTTTGCCCCTGTGTGGCTAGTGTTGTGCTGCCTGGTGCTCAGAGGGTGCCTGCCAGAAAGGACATGATCAGCTGCAGATGGGTGCTGTGACAGTTTCTTTATCACACAGAACAACTCTTCCTCCCTGTGTGATCTCATGGGCATTCACATGCAGGGGAAGCAGAAACCTGAGAGGTGTGCATCTCAGAGCACCCTGCTCGCTGCTTCCGACCACGCGCTGCCAGCTGAAACTTCATCTATTTATAGTGCACCAGCTTAGAAGGTCAGTTTTCAGAAACAAAAATCACAAGGGAATAACACCATGTTTATCACAGCAGTTTCCATATGTAACTCTATCTTTCAGTAGCCTCAAGGCAGGAAAGTTCTGTCATTTGTGGATTAACAGCACTGATGCTGGGCAAATATTTTCATGCTACAGAAAGGGAGCTACTCAGATTCTGATATAGGGAACTGTGGGTTAAATGTGTGAGATCTCATGCAGCAAAATAGTTTAAAAATACACAGCTGAGAAGGGAACTTGTAAAGAGCTTTGAACCACAAGTTCACCAGCTGTCTCTGTTTTTAGTTAGAGCTATGATCCAAGACTGCTGTTCCTGGCATTCTCTGACAAGCCCTTCACATGTTCAGAATGTTACATTGGATCCAATTTCTTTTGAAATACATCCTACATCCTGGACATGGGGTAAAACTCAGGGTACAGTGACTACTAAAGATCTCTGAGCTGCAAATCCCCACACAGCACATGAAGCAACCTGTCTTGTCCATTCATGTTTTACAAATCCCTGAAGATCATTCATCAGTGACATTTAAAATCCATGTATAGAATTATTTATGAAGTTCTCTGTGAATATGACTCTTCTGACTAAAGCCTTCACAATGCTGATGAGCTGTTCAGACAGGTTAAGCAGGTCCCATGCATCTCACCTTGGCTCTTTCAGTCTCCTCCTCTGTGAGTATGAAGAGTACATCTCTGGGCAGGAGGCACGAAAACAGCACATCCAGGATGGAGATGTATTTCCTGAAGAGATTCACTGATTCAAGCACCAGCACATGGCACCCTAGACAGAGAAAGAGGAGAAATATTTCAAACCAGCAGTATTCCTGTAAGGTGCCCAGCATTCCAGGCTCAGCAGGGCTTGGCAGGCTCCCTTCTGTTGCTGACCATGGGGATCCTTTCTGTGCAAAAGGGGACCAACTTCTAGATGTGCTTCTACCAGGATCTCCTTGTGCCTAGTGCATGTCTATCACCATTGGCACTGGTTCTTCTTCTGTGTGTGGTTTGTGGAAAGCAAAGCTATGGATACCAGAGAGTTTGGAGTGGCTTTTTTGCTTATATTTGAAATTATTTCTCCATAGTCAGACTCAAAGGAAGAAGCACAGCTGGCTCTCTGAGTGCTGGCACTGTATCCTATGATGGCAAAACAGCAATCAGCTGACAGTTCAGCTACCAAAGTGAAATTTCCTCCTTCTACTCCAATTCTTAGCTACAGAAAAAATATTTACAAGATCCAGGAATGGCTGTATCAAATATTAACTCAGGTGGGCAGCTACATTTTAATTGAGTTCCAGAATTCATTGCTCAGATGCTTCTGATGAAGCAGATGAAGGTAACATGTATTAAGATTCTATCCATGTGGAGATTTTGTTTGTTTTAAAGAGCCCCTTGAACTCAAAAGTTAATTGCTATTTCTTTTACCATGGCTGAAACATCTTCACTGATGGGCTCAGAGCTACTGATGGTCTCATTATGAGCCTGTAGCTCTCAAGGGAGATGCCTTGGGATTTCTCAGGGCTCGGAAGCTGCTGTGATTCTGCTTCACACTTCAGACATGGTATTAAAGTTTGACAGAAGAGTCCAAAGTCACAGTTTACATAGGTGGTCAGATATGCAATTAGATTTACAATGAATTTCTCTTCAGTGTCCTCTTATACAGTGAAATCATATAAAGGAGACAAAGAACAATGCTGACTTGCTACCAAGGCTGCCTAATGGAAATCTTAGTGTGTGAAGCCTGTCCTCACAGCTAATACTGCTCAAGCTGTTATGTCCTGAGCACCAAGTAAAATGGTGATGCTAAAATACCTCTTGACCCTAAAATGTAGGCAGGACCTGTGTCCTCTTAAGAGAAAAGATCCTTCAGTCTAGCCTCTATCAAGCATGAGACAGGAAAGCAAAACAAGTTGCTTCTATGGTGAATGAATTTCCTGGGGATGCAAAGGATGTAGCTCCCACAAGTCTCCAAGGTATTCAAAGCCACCTCACCAGCACCATTCCCTCCCCAGCCAGGTGACATGCTGGGCCCAGGATCAAACAACACACAGGGTTGATGCTCCTCACATGTGATTTGTGTCCCCTGCCTCTTCCCAGCAGGGCTAACTCATTCACTGCAAAGAAAGCTCTTGATTTTATTCCAGCCAAAGCCTGCAATGGCAGGACAGGGCAGCCCTGATGGGACTCCCTCGGGCACATCTCCAGGATCTTTTAATTCCTTTCTTCCTTCTCTCCCCTTCAATAGCAGGATGTACAGTTTGTTCCAACTTTTCAATAGTCTTTTCCACTCTCAAAAGCAAAACTAGTAGCTCTTTATTTCAGTATCACAGAAGGCTCCAGGCCCATGCTCCACTTCCAGTTCTCTTTCTGCCTAGATCCAGGGACATGACTCCCCACCAGGGTAGACAAAACGTTCAAAGGAGTTATTTTCTCCTGCCGTGGGCAGCAACGGGCAGCGTTAGAGCCCTCAAGAGAAATCCCTGGCTCTGCCATCCAGACAAACGCTGACACGAGTCTGTGCAGTGCCAAGAACAGGAGGAAAAGCCCTCCCGAAGCCGCCGGGAGGTGGCGGTGTCCGCCCGGCCCGGGGGCACTTGGGCACGGCCGGCCGGGGTGATCCTGCCTCAGCTATGTCAGTACCGTGTCCCGAGTGCAGCCTGAGCCACCCAGCCCGGGCAAGGTCACGGTGCCCTGCGGAGCAGCAACTGTGCGGGGCCATCTGGAAGGAGCGAGGGCCCTGCCAAGCTCCGTGCGGTGTCCCTGGGATGTGCAGGAACGGGAGGGACCAGGCTGGCCTGAGCCACGTCCTGCCTGCCAGCCCGAGCCCACCTCGACAAGTGACAGGGCAGTTGCTCTTTACCTGCCATAAGGCTGCAGCCTGTTACTGCAAAGCAGGCTCTGCACAAAGAAGTGCCGTGACAGCTCTTTTATTCCCACTAGAGACATTTCTCGTTTCCAAGCAGCCCCCCTGGAAGCAAACTTGGGATGTGCCATGAGTGGGGGAACCACTCTTCCCCTCTCTGCAGAGATCCTCTGGGCTGCTCAGCAGGACCAAACTTGGTGGGTAGTTTCAGAGAGAAGAATTATTTGGTGCTGCACTAAGGCACAGCAGGGGAAAGGAAGAGATGTGGACCCCTTGCTCGTGCAGTCACCATTCCCACTGGCCACCTCTTTGCTTTTCAGTGCTTACTGGGCAGGACAGGGCTGGACAAACACAGGGCAAGGGGGCTTTGCTTCCCTGGGTGGTTGTTAATGGACCCTGGCAATGCCTGGTGCAGGGTCACCCACCACCCATCTTTGAAGCCTGGGCTGCTCTGTTAACAAACTGCACGTTCCCTTTCCTCATATATTTTCCCCATATCAATTAATTCATGCAGCAATTATGCTTTTTTGTTCCCCCAAGCTCAGCAATAAGGGCTCAAAACAACTGCAGGTGATTTCAGTACTGATCATTCTGACCTCCTGGGCCCCCACCGGTCACACCAGGCGAGGTGATGGCATCCAAGGCTCACAAACCTCAAGGCACTGTGAGTCTTCTGTGTTAGTGATATGACAAGGATCTCTATGTGCTGACAGCAAAGGCTGCTCCATGTGGGAATGTGAGATGCAAGGAAGCAAGGAAGGAATGTACAGTCCAAGGAGAGATGGAAAAGGATTCAGAGAAAGAGACTGCTCCCTGCCAAGCAGGGTAATAGAAGTGCTGCCATTGATGAGTCCACTCCTGTGACACCAGCAGGTGAAGCTTTTCAGAGCCTGTTATGACTGACCTGGGCAGGCTGGGATTAGCAGTGTAATACAACCTCTCCAGGGTGGCAGAAAGGGCAGGATCAATATAGCTGGTGGATTAGGCCTAGAATAGAAGTGCATGAAGCCTGCAGCTTGTTCAGCTTGGCTTTCTACTTCCAAATCACTTATGCAGCAAGTATGCCTGCAGTGAGCAGAGCATCAGCAGATCCGTGTGTGCTAAGGGCTTGCACTGCTCCTCACAGATGTGAGCACACCAATTCTTTTGGAAAAGTGTTGGATGGGACCAGTAGTTGGTGTGGATACTTATCTCAGCTTCTTGAAATAAGCCTATGTACTTGTGCCTGGGCTGGAGAACTTGACTACAGATTATAAAAAGCCTGTTGTGTTTTTGCTGGCTAAAGGCATTAGAAAGCAGAGCAGGATATTTAGGGTGCTCATTTGCATGTCACTGAGGCAATGCAAGGCTTAGCTGGCTTTTGCCTTTGCAGAGAGATTTTCTGTGGATTCCCTGATCACAGGGGCTTACACAGCTTCACCCACCAGTCGTTCCCTCTTACCAAGGAGAGAGCAGCACATTTCCATGGCCTGAACATGCCTGTCAGCTCTATCCAGACAGCCTCAATCCCAGCACCACTCTTGTTTCATTAAGCCCCTCTGATGCACAGCCCTGCACGCCTGCCAGATCGAATTATAAATACCAGGAATTTCAATGAGCCTGGAACTATATTTGGAAAGGCTTAGCGTAAGCAGCAGCATGGGAGCTCCCCCTTCCTTTGGTGTTTGTAGGTCATGTCAGATGTGATGTAATCAGAGCAGCAAGGCTTTCACGTAGCTTCAGGAGTCTCCTGGTGCTGCTAGAGAAATGGAAATGTTGTCTCTCCATGGGTCTGTTTCAACCTTGAACCACTCAGAGGCACAGCCCATTTTCAGGGCCCCAGGCTGCCTCACAAACCTGCATGAACAGCATGTGAAGGTGGTTCAGTCTAGATAAGGCCTGACATTGAGCAGTGACACCTACCACTGCAGTTCCTTGTTCTTTCTCTGTGCTGCACAGAGCACACAGAGCTCTCTACTGCAGCCCCCAGCTGAACACAGAAAAGGTCCTAGGAACAAAGCTGGCATTAACACCCTGGTTTCATAGATGAGGGAACTGAAGAGACTAGAACCACAACTCAGTTAAAGGGCATTTTGCCATCTTGGCTCATTCTCTCTCCACCAGATCTTGGTCAGCAACTTGCTGCTAGCAGGGAATTAAAACCAATTTGCTGTGATACATCCAAATCCTACAATGATTTGGGAATGAGTGTTAAAGAAACAAAGTCCAGATGACTTCTGAGGGAGCAGGAGGTTGACTGGGCGGGCCTGGAAATAGCACTCATGCTCAAGGAAGACAGTAAGAGGCACAGGCCAGACACTGAATCACACCACTGAGACAGGACCACCCCAAAGGACAGAAAAGTGACTGTAGATGAGCCCAAGCTGATAAAAAACTGCAGGGAGATAAAAGGGCAAGGGAAAGTTCAGCTGTGGGTTTCATTTGCATTGCAAACAGAGGTGAGATAGGCAGATGAAACCCTGGACAGAAGGTTCATGTACAGGACTGCCTCCTGCTTGCAGGGTCATGCATGTGCAATGTGACATACCTTCAGGTAACCTCCCTTCAGAATGCAGGCACCTGGGAATGAAGAGATACATGGGGTAAACACTCAGTGAAGTTACTCCAATCCTGATTTTACAGGTACAAACTCTGTATGGTAAATCAAGCCTTTTCTCTTAATACACACACACACACATTTACTATGGCTAATCTTATGACAAAATTTAGGAGCCTATACTGGGTACAGATGTCAGGCAGTGGTGAGCCTCATTCTCCACATGATTCTGCCATCACTTTCCTCATCCTGGCTGCTGGGACACAGCTCCATAAATCCAACTCACTCTCAAACTTCTCATGTTGCTCTAAAGAAAACTGCAAGAAGCTGCCAAAAGCTATTCTCCTCTGAGAGCACTGGCTCTTTAAAACCTTGCCTTTGCTGACCAGGGATGTTGCTTTAGTGGCAGATCCTTTTTGGGGACCAGTTTCTTTCTTTCCAACCCATGCTGGCACTGGGACATCTGAGAACTGCTCTGACTTTTTGCTCACTAAGACTCTGATTCCTTTGTTACTCTCTTCTGGGAAGTCTCTGTAGCAAAAATGCATCCCTTGGAAACAGAATGAGGGGACCAGAGCAGGAGATGTGAACAGTGATGGTAGTTCCATCAGGAAGTGAAAGCAAATAATTGTGTATGGTGAAGGCATCAGAGGGTATTAGCTTAAATTCCTTTTTAATTCTCTTGTTTTTCCTGCTCCAGCCTGTGGCTCATGGCTTCAGAGCACTCATGCTCACATTTGCATCGCCTCCAGATTTGGCCCCTGGCAGGGATGGGAGGAAGCAGGTCTCCAGCAGATGGCACTCAGAGCTGTCCCACACCCAGGCTTACTCTTCCATAAGAAAAAATAAATCCAAACAATGGAACATTTGCCAAAAGGAGAAAGGAAATTTTAAAAAAAAAGAAGTTATTTAACCCTGTGTAATATTTAAAGAGATTCTTATCATCTTATAGTGGTGTATTTAACGAAGGCCAATGTGACAGTTCATGTGTAAAACAACCAGGATAAAACATACATTATATGTAAACTGTTAGGTTTCTCCTGTCACTTTCAAACTAGGATTATCTCTGGCTATTGGTTAAGTTCAAGGAAAAGGATTAGCTACACAGGTGTAGACAAAATAGGAAGCACAGAGTAATGAATACCCAAAGCAATTCAAAGCAAAAGTCAAGCCAGAAATGCAGGTCATGGCAGAACCCAAACAGCAACCAAAAGACACATGCCTTAAATAGATTCTTCTGCCAGTGGTCTCCTCTCCCTCTAGAGAGAAAGATCTGCAAGCAATACCACCTTCTACTAAACAATGGCCTTTAGTACTGACTTGGCCACCTTCTACCCCACTACTCAAGGTCTGCTGTTCTGACAGAGATGGTTAAATGTTGCTTTGTAAACATCACCAGCAACTTTTTAGGGGAGGGGAAAGAAGGTTTGAGTCTCTATTAATGTCTGCTCTGATCTTCTGCCAGAGGTTTCTTCCCCCACAATTAGAATCTGGCCACCCAAAGAAGTGATTCAGCATTTGGTAAAGCTCTCAGGGTGGGAACTTCTTAAAACAAGCCTGGAGAGATAAAGCAGTGGGTGGTTGTGAAATTTGGTTAACTATTCCAAGTTCTGGGTGTGCTCCTATGCCATAGAGGGACCTTTAAAGCTCTAACTGACAGCAAATCAAAGGATGTGAAGAGCTGCTCCAAGAGTGATCTAATAATAACCATTCCTGGCCACTAGAAACAGAAGCAAGGAGAGCTCCAGTTCATATGGAAATGTTCCAGCAGGAGCAGAGAGCATCTTCAGCAAGGAAGGGGAGTTTGCTCCAGCAGCAAATCAAGCAGTTTGTGCTTGTATAAAGGTGCAAGGAGACATAAACTGTCTTTTTGTTACTGAAAGGACCTCAAGGCTGCTACCAGGCAGACCTGGCACTGATATGGAAAAACAGGCTTGAAAAAAAACTGACTCTCTGCTCATCCTTTTTGTCCTGAGCCAAATGTTTCCATGCTCAGTGCAGAGCTGTGGGAATGGGCTCCACCCAGCTGTAATGCTGCAGAGGAATTGCAGCCCTGCTCCTTTGTATTTCTCAGGCAAGAGATGAAAATGAACTGTGGTTGCAGGGAGAGAGAAAGAAACACAAAACTCTACCTCCTGCACATGTTCAGAAATCTAGCCAATCCTCTTCCAAATCAATCTTCTCCCTCCCATCTCCACCCTGCTGGAGCTGTCTCCCTGGGCCACTTCCAAGTAGGGGAGAGGTTGCAGCTCTCTGTTGTTGCCATTTTGGGAATGTTGTTTTATAGACTGGACTCACTGTGGTTTGGGTGAAATGAAGAAGTTTGGCATAAAATCTCAAAAATGCACTCAAACAAGCTCTTTTTCAGGAGCTTTTTCCATGTGTTTTTTTCCAGAGAGACTTTTTATAAATTCTGTTGAAACATGAAGTGATCTAAGGTGGCTTGTTCACCCACCACATGCCAGAGGCCAGCTGATCACAGGGCACCTCACTGCACCCTCGTCATTATGGCTGTGGTAGGTTCAAATCCACGTTTGAAACAAAGTGAGACCTAATGCAACGGAGAACTTCAAAAGGCTGTCTGAACACCTTCATGCTTTCTGAAAGCACCCACCATTTCTACACTGCAAGGACACAGCACTGGCTTCTGCCTCCTTGGAAACCTACTGCTGTCTGCAGCTTATCAGCTGCATCTGCTCAGCAGATCTGAAATGGTCCAACAGCTCTTGTCCTGCAAACTGCAGGACTGAGATAGCTCCCAAATTCCCTGTCTTCATTCAATCATCCTCAAGGAAAGATGTCAGCTGTGTGGGTTAGCTCCTAAAAGGCACTGACCACTGATACCTCCTCATCATGGCAAGAAGGAACAAGTCAAGAAGGAGCTGGAACCTCAGTCTTGGGGAACACAGAACTCCTCTGGGGTAGAAGCAGGACTGACGCCCTGGTGGGTGGATTACCCTTCTGGTGATGTTCTGTTTAATGAGAATTGCTCATTGAAATCAATGACTTCACTCTCCAAATAGTCTCCCATGCCAAAGGCAAAGCCCTTCACTGAAATGACTGTGCTGGCTGCTGGAGAGCACTGGGGAAATAGAGTCAGCAAGAGCATGGCAAAGAATGGATGTCTTAAAGATGCACTGGGGCTCTGTTTAGGATCCTAACCTCTAATCTGCCCAATTAATCTGATGAAACAGATGTGAAAGAGGAAGAACAGCCAGTCTCCTAGGAATCACAGAGACATTAGAAGGATATACTTGCCAGATGCTGCATGTTTGCTCTCTGGAACACCTCCTCCCTCCCTAGCCAGACTTTCTGGCTCCACTTCCATGCACCCTGAACTGCACCACGTAGCAACACTCAGGCTGTAGAACACCCCCCAGGCCCCCTGCCATTCCACATGCTCAGTGGCTGAGATGGTTCTGCCAGGCAGAAAAAAGGTGGTGATTCAGAGACCTTCCAGTTGACAGAGCTGCTCTGGTCCCTGCACTGCCTGGGAGAAGAATGTGCAATGTCACTGCTCCTCTCATGCTGCTAGCAGCCTAGTGATGGGAAGGACATTCCTTGAGGCTATTTCTTTGGAATAAAAACCAACCTTTGAGGGTGGGAATCCCTGCAGTGCTGCTGTGCTGAGCTCAGCTTCATCCTCATTGCTCTCAACAGTATCAAGGAAGGACACTGGCAGGAACACAGTTGAATTAAGGAAGGATGGAGCAGGAGTGAAGGAATAAGATGAAATCTAGGAGAACACAATCCAGCTATGGGATATATGCCTCTGAGAGGAAGGGTCTCAAAGGGTAAACAGAGAAGGGCAATTCTGCCTTGACCTCCTGGGGGCAGTCTGGGTGCAATCACAGCCACCACTCCTAAGTTTCCCCTGGGTCATTTAAGATTAGTAAAACAAAACACCAGTTAAAGGACAGGCTGGAACATAAGATACTGGAACCTGTTATTTCTTCAACATTCTTCTATATTTTGCAGGGAACCTACAACTCCACCAGGGCCTAAACAATCCCAAACAAACACAGCAATGACACAGGAAATCCTTTTTCAAGATGGAGTAAATAATAACCAGTTTTGAAAAAAGGGATTTTCTGGGAAAAGGCAAGGAAAACACAAACCAGAACCCTGCTTCAAAAACCTCAATGAGATGCCACTCTTTTGAAATGCATGGATCACAGCTGCTTAGAAGGAGTGAGAGATCAGAGCCCCATTCTAGCCCCACAGTGTAAGAGGGCATCAAATAAAAATGGTAGACAGGATACCATTCACTATCATTGAGCTAATCACCCATGAAACAATTTCCTTCCTGCTCAACACATCCTTAAAGACCTGACCTTGGAAGCTCAATATGAGTAGAACTGTGCTTTGAAGGATGTAATGCAGCTGGTGGCTTCTGAGAACTGTACCCACTGAGTCTGTGGGACTTAGCTGGACAAGGCACTGTTCATCGTTTCAATGTACTTATTTGAAACTGGCATTTCATCAATCCTCCTCTTCCAGGGAGCTCTAGTGCAACCCTTCTGCACAAGGCCATGTCCAATGGCATTCACAAATGGGCATTCAACAGTCAGGCTGGGACGTGTCAGTGCAACAAGGCATCAGTGGCACTCAAGTAGCATCAGAATCAACTCAGAACTGATAAAGCCCTAAGCTCCCAAATATTAGACCTCTGCACAGACTCATTTACAGCCTACCACTGAGCTGCTGAATGTTAAGAAACATCCTGCAGGGCCAAGAGGTGTTTTTCCAAATGGAATTGACAAGAGTAGGCTCAGCTAATGATTCTTTGATGTAGCTTTTTATATGGCATCATTGATATAAGTCTTATGGATGCTGTTGCTATAACAACATAATGCACAGTGGTTAAATATAGCAGCTCCTATTTTCCACTCAGTTTGCTCTGCACTAAGCAGACAAGTACTATTCTTTTCTGTTCTAGCTGGGATGAAATTAATTTGATAGTTCACTGAAGAAAATAAGAGGTACAGTCCTTCCTCCCCCTCACAAAGGCCATTCCCCTCCAACCTAAGCAAACAACCAAACAGGCCCCCCCCCCATTTGCTAGGTTAGTGGGCTGTGACTCATGCAAAACTAAACCACGTTGATATTACATGTGATCTCAGTGCAAACATTGTCATCTCAAAGAGCAGGAAAGAGAGGTTCTCAAATATTCCTGTCACGTAATATTCACCCTGCTCATTACCATAGTACTGGCCAAACTCTGAGAGAGGAGTGAAGTGACCTTGATGTCACTCTGGACCTGCTCATCCTTGGGGATGTGTGTACAGGACCCAGCCTCTCCTGGCCACAGGGAAAGGTCCTGTTTTGAGGGATAAGAAAGAATGACATTGTCAAATCCAGGTGATGTGGGGAAAAGCAGAGCTACAAAAGATTGCTTCCTATTTTCCCTTCTTTGCTATTGTGGGATTTTCTTGGGTTTGGATAATTGGTTGTGGGTTTTTTTTCCATCTGGAAACCAGAACTGGAATACTCCCAGGGGAGACTGAAATCAAATAGCAATTTGTGTTCCTCTCCCATCTTGTTTTTTTCTTATTTTTCCCTTGCAGAAGAGCAAATTCACCCTCAAACCTTGGCATTTCAAAGTTCCTCCCAGATCTGAAGCCTAGACACATAGCAGCAGCTGGACTCCCTGCAAGCTGTCAGGAGGAAGGTTGCTGCAAGGGAAAGGGCACATTTCTCCTGAATAGTTCCTACTCCTTTGAGCATAACACTCCTCTGTTCCAGACACTAGAAAGAATATTTATGCCCATAGCAAATAATCCTGAGCATCTGCTTGGCTACAACCATTTCCTGAACTGTCTTATTCCTTGAAGCTGTTCAATAATTTGCACCTCCTGGAGCAAGGACTGTGGGATGGGTCACACCTCCCGTTCTACCCCTGCTCTTGCAGAAAGTAACCTCTTCAGCAGTGGGCATGAGTCTCTCTCCCACAGATGGGGAGCACCCAAAAGATCTAAGGATCACTTCACCAGCCCTCTGCTTCCTCCTTTCCAGTTACAGCCACAGTGGAGGCTGATCCCTGCAGACCTTGTTTAAAGGTAGTTAATAAATACATTGTGCATGATACCTGGAGGGGAGAGGTTCATTTGCCTTTTTCTTGCCATGTAGTCCTGGGGCCCCAGGGACAGCAGCTGCTGCCTTGGGAAGCCCTGCTGGCAGGGAGGGATGGGAGAGGCCTCAGCAGGAGCTCCCAGCCCTGCCTGTTCCAGCCACCATGTAAGAACTCATCAGGGCACTGAAAATCAGGAGTGATACAGTCACGCTCTACTTACTCCATGACACAAACTGAAAAATAATGAGGGCATGCAAGCCACTAAAAATAAACTTAACCTTTCAGTGGCCACTGCATCACTCCTGCCACATGCAGATGATGGGGCCACCATTCTTATTTCTGCTGATTCAGGACTGGAAGAGAGACAAGACACAAACCAGCCCTTAGTTAATGAGAACTGCTTATGCTCTGGTGTTGCTGTCAGCACGTGTCTCAGCAGCCTGGGACAAGGTTCTGCTGCAGGCTGAGGACTAATGCAAAGGTCTGAGTTGAAAGGGCTTGCAGATAATGGGAACTTCCTAGTAACACCCTCTGAGAGAAGAGGGCTAACATCCCCCTGCACACACATGAAACTTAAAGCACAAAGGTGGGAAAAGTGATTTCTGTGCAGCCTCAAAGTCAGACAGTAGTAGAGCTAGGATCAAAACTGGGAGTTTTCCTTAGCCTTCCCATACATAACTCTGCTATGAGCTGTTTTCCTTCCATCTCTTCAGGATGTTGGGAGGCACCTACCAATCTGCCCCCCACTCCTGTTTGCAGGCTGCAGGGCAATTGACTGAGCAAACACTGAGGCTCTTCCAGGCAGCTGGAATCTCTTTATTCCCTCTGTGCCAATGGTGTGGGCATCAGTCATCAACCTCTGTCCCCCACTCACTCCTCAAATAACACAGTGTTGGAAAGCATCTCCCTGCTCAGCCCGAACAAACACTGTGTGCTTGAACTCCACTCCCTTTCCCTCTCTCAGGCTATTTCAGAGTTGCTGGGAAAAGCCATGATCCCCTCTAACACTGAATTCCAGCCATCAGATAGCATCAAAGACTTCCAGCATCTTCCCAGAGGAGCTCAGAAGGTCACAGTATGGGTTCTGTGGCACTGCAGCTTTCTCTAGGCAAGTGAGAAAGGCAAATCACTGTGATGTTGTTAGCAAGGAAAGCCAGAGAGCTGTTTGAATTGCACAGATGATTCAGAAAACAAATGGCTGCTAAAAATACAGGATATAATTGCAAAGAGTTCTTCTCATGCCTGGGAAAGGCAGGGGCAGCTCTCTAGGACACAGTGAGCTCTGAATGATCTGGGAGTTAAAATAAAATACACTAGCTGTCTTGCCAGCAAAATGTGGGTGATTTTAATACAAGGGATTTTCGTCTAGCAACCTTCCTGTATCATTGCACAGAGACAGAGGTTCTTAGAATGTGAATGAAGAGGTGAAGGAACTATTTGACTTAGGAAGAGTGGTAAATAGAGGCAGCTCCAGTGAAAGAGCAACATCCTTAGGCCAGAGGTAAATTCAGGTACCTGGACACAATGGCAACGACCTCTGGAACCATGGTGCAGAACTTTCCAAAGTCCAACTCCCAGGCATCAGCTATTCACACCCTCTCCTCAAACCAGAAGTGCAAAGTGATCTGTGGTATTTTAGTGGGATCAAGAACAGGAAGGGCAAGGAGGGCCCAGTGAAAGGGAGACTGGCAAAGCACCAGCAAATGGAACAATGAAGGATGCTATAGGTCTTGACAGAGCTTTGAGAGTTCCTCCAAACAGCATTGTGTCCCACAGCCTGGCCCTCAGTTCTATCAGTGAAGTTCATACTGCTTGTGGCTCTAGCTGTGACAAGCTTTCTGCTTACACACAACAACCACATCCACTCTGCAACACCAGTGAGGCATTTCATGGAGTGTGCAGACACTGTACCTTACAGCAGTGTAAAGAGAAATGTGGTTGGCATGACCACTCACTCCTCCCGCATCAAAGGTTACCACCTGCAATAAAACCACAGAACAATCATAATTCTGAAGAAAGAGACTGCAGTTACCAAATTTGACATCTAACACAGCACTGTCCCAGCCCATTGTATCCAAAGAGTTGCTTTTGTGTTGCATAATGAGGCCTTGTGTGTGAACTCATGCTACAGACATACAACTAAACAAACAGGACACTCTGGAACTAGATAACTACACAGTTTATCAGCCTGAACAACAGAAAGATGACAAATACAATGTTCCCTCTGGCAGGATGCACTTGTTACTTATTACTGGGCCAAAAGGTTACTTGCAGGGTGAGCTGTTGCAAACTTTTTCCTGACCCAGGAGGTCCAGCTCTATGAATCACTCTCTCCAGGATTTGAGAGGACACTAGAATGCCTGAGGATTAATTACATTGCGAAACTCCAGTTTGCTGTACTGTGAACCAGGTCATATTGCTATAACTAGAGCAACTCACTCGTGTCCTACTGTCCTGATTGTAATGAGTCTTCATCACAGGATGCCATAGTGATAAAATGATCTGATAAGAGAATAAGCCTTTTTAAAGAATCAGCAGACTGCACTTTTGCCACAACCAAGTCAGGCTTTTCTCTGAATGAGAAGATCATCTTACTTATTGCTTGTCTGCAGGGAGAAATGGGAACTTCATAATGCAGAAGTGATATGTGAACACACCACTGACATGTCCCTGTCCAAAGCACAGAATAGCCTTGGCTCCCTGCTCTCAACCCTACCAATCATGTGTCAGGGTGAAGCACCCACCCTCAGGGCCCACTCTGCACATACTGTGAAGTGGGTACTCAAAGACTTCCAACCTAGAGAACAAACTGGCAGCACAAAGGGTAGAGCAGACAGGGGATGTGTGCTGGTAGGCTTTCCAGATGGTGAAAGTGACAGTCCTTGGACAGTTGAAAGTTAGGTTTTTGCTCTGGGAGAGGCCAGGCAGCAGAGCTCTCCACAGGTCCTTTCTCTGTGACCAGGAAGAAATCGTAAACTCCCCACATTTCAATCAATGTCTGCTTCCTTGCCAGCTTGTTCTCTCTTCAGGGAAGGAAATGCTACTGCCTTGCTTACTCACCACAGCTCCCTGCTCAAAATCTATTTTATATGCAGGGCCTGAAGCACTGGGTTAAAGACCAAGGGAAGATCAAAAGCTGCCCTGCCCGTCCTGCAACTTGCTGCTCCACCCTCCAACAGAAGAGGCCCTGTCAAACACAGGGGATATTGTGTAAAGAGGGAGAGGAAACACAGACAGTGATAAGAAATACTTTAAAAACCACAAACTCCAGATGAGCCTGCTTATAAACCCATCTACCCAGTCCAAGCCCATAGTTAGACTTTCCACTTTGTCCACTGGCTGCAATTATGCTGCCACCAAGCAGTGGGGTTCCTCACTGCTGGCAGGAAATGGTGAGACCCAATTTGGTTTCGTTCTGGTAAAAATAAGTATTTTCTGGTCAACTCTTACTTTATAAGGAGAAAAATGATGCCTCTGGCTGCCATTTGCTTTACAGCAGCAGTACTGAGATGCTCTCTGCAGGGTCAGCATGGCCTGGCATGGTGCTAAAAATTCCCTAGGGATATCAGCTTTTGGAGTAGCTCATCTGGGAAAGACATCATTACATGCTGCACAGCTCAGGGAACCAGCACAGCACCCTGCATTGTGTAGATAAGGAAAAACATGCTCTGAAGTCACTCCTACCTAGAGTAGCACTTTCCCAAGATAACAAAGCACCCAACTCACTCCAGGCAGAACAAATTCCTACACTGGTGAATGATTGTGTGAGCTGCTAAGGGTTGACGTGCACTAATCTTTTTACTAAAAAGAGACAGAGCATTTTTCTCTTCTGCCTGGTCAGATATTTTCATGTAACCCACACAAACACGACATTTTAAGACTACTACCCTGCTGTCAAATGTGGTTGAAATCAGCCAATGGGCAGGAGAGTCTTTTGAAACATACATGTGTACACACATATAAATACAACTATGTTATTCTTGTTTCCTTGGGAAACCAAAAACCCCAGGCAAACCACACATTTTCCCTTCTATGGAGGGTACCAGAGAACAAACCGGGAGACCAAGATAAGAGTTTACAATGAGCAGACTAAATAAGCTGATCATTTTGACAAAAGTGGCTTGGGACAATTGTGGGAGTAAAATAAACACCTTTACAAGTTTTTCTTCTCCACATTTTGCAACAGGAGCTGCTGTTCTTAGTGCTGCTAGGCTTGTGCAACATCTGAACAAACTCACCTTGCATGAAGGTGATTTTCAATTTATATTGTCTAATGTACTGTTAGGACATTTGCACCTGAGTTGCCTGTCTCTTCATTTATCAAACCCAAAATACCTGCACACTGACCTGAGCAATTTACTTTCTCTGCAAGGAGACTACCTTTGAATTATTTGCTTTTCACCTTTAGAGATCCACCCCAGCACACAGGTGGGCTGTGACACAGCAACGTGTCCCACCTACCCAGCAGGCCACTTTTAGTCCTGCTGTCCAAACAGGGACTGATTCCACAACATCATGTGGTGCCCGTGACTTACAGCAGGCAGCAATCCCATGTAAATAAATTCCTCTGGCTTCAAGGATTCATGTAATTGATAACAAATCTGAATTTCTTTCTCACATGCTGCAGATATTTTCACATGGGAGCACTTGCTTCTTCCACCAGCTCATTGGTGTGCTTGCTTTTAGCACACAACCTGAACCAGGCTGATGATTAAATCATCAAACAATCAGGGCAGGATAAGAAAACCTGAACATCTTGAAGCTGTCTGGGTTAAAAACAGGATTAGCCAGTTCTGGGAGCAAAAAAGCTGGGATAGGAAATATACTTCATGTTGCAATTATTGCTCAATGAAATGTTTAGAGCAAGAGGGAGTTTCCTCCCCACACCTGTTAAGAAATGGGAACTGCTGCTGTTGGTGTTGCTTGCTGTTCTTCTGGGTGACCTTGGTATTCAGGAAATAGAGCTTTCACTAGTGGAAGCCAGAGCAACAGCCAAGACAAACAGGTCCAGAAGTCCCTTCCGGAAGGGGGAGAGCACAGAGGAAATTACTCAATTAATAGTAGAAGAGAAAACTCCTGAGAGGTCTAAAGTCCATGTTCCCTCTACACACCATGTGCACTAGTGGCAAAAAGCACTCCAAGCTGTGGGTCTCCCTCACTTCTGAGTCAAGCAGTGCTTCAAACAGAGCACACATCTGCTCAAGTAGACTGGTGGGGACAGAAAGGTATTTTTCTTTTTTGGGAAGGGCGATCCCATAAAATGCCATATTAAGCAACTCCATTCCTATCAGCCTTCCTCTGACCATAATTTCATAGGCCAAACTTACACTTGCAGGCAACAGTGACATTCCAACTCCCTTTGAGTCTCCTGTGTGTTTGGACATGTCTCTTATTGCTATTATATCAGATAAGCTAAGAGTTAAAAAGAATGAACAATTGGATGAAAAAGGAAAAATCTAATAACGATCAACCTCCCAGTGTCCCCTGGGTTTGAGCTGCAAGCATGTAAAGTCATCCACCAGCTCTTAGAATGCAAGGTCCTGGGGGCCTCTCACTCATGTACTCCAAAGCACTCCATAGGTGAGGGAGGAAGGAAAGGGATGACAACGTCTGTCCCAGCTCTGTCTTCTAGCAAAGAAGCTGCACTCCACACGCTGCACTCCAAATCTAGTGTTCTGAAAAAGCATAGAAAATCCTCTACAAATATCACATATTCAAATGCTCCTGAATTTCAGGAGAGTGTGGAGACCAAGATCCAAAATATGAGAGCTGAACTCATGCTCTCAAATATAAGGTCCAACCTGAATGCCATTTGGAGATCTGGCTTGCTAGGCTGGCTTGGAGCTGACCCAAGACAATGGGACTTTTCCACAAACAGTTATACTGATGATGTTTCCATCAATCCATAGTGTAAAGAAGCTTGTAAAGATGTGGTATTGCTGACTTCTGGTCTTGGTACTGCATCTGCCCCAAACACAGTCTGAATGTCACCTCCTAATCCCAGCTTTGCCATCACCAAACTAGAGATCCTGAAGAGTGGGATTTCATATCCCAGAGCCTGTCTGGAGCTCACACAGTCCTATGCAACTTATTTTTTACACACTTCCTAATGGAGACAGACTACCCTTGGCTGCCTCTCCCAGCAGTACTGCCTTTTGCTTATAAATCCAGCAGGCAGGAAACAATTTCCAAGGTCTATAAATTAGTTTTGGCTTTGAGTACAGTACACCAACTGTTAATTTCTGTGTCTGCACTATTTAATGTAGAGCTTGGATTAAATATGTCCCTGTAGCTCTCAGATAGATTGAGTTACTGATGGACTTCCAGGGCAATTGAGGAAATGAGTAACTATGCACTGGAGCAAAACTACATATAACATGGTGTGACTCCTTGCTTTGCAATCTTTCCTTTCAGACATGTTGGAATTGCAGCCTGCTTCTCCACTGCCAGATGACACATATATTCTGTAAATTAAAGATACCAATGTCTCCTGGGAGAACTGGGGAAAGTTTTCCCACTGGGACAGCTCAAACAATCATGTGAACTCCACTGAGTTAGTTTGTTGTGTTTGAAACCCTGTTAGCTTATATTTTGACAAGGCTCCTTTAACATGTTAAGCCAATTCTATCAGTTTCAACTTTACTGAAAAATAGTCTCAGTTCAGCTTTCCAGGCAAAGCCATTGTCTCTGGACAGCAAAGATCTTCTAAGAATGGATAACACATACCAAGCTTTGAAGTTTTAAAATGCAGAATGTTGGACAAAGGTAGTTAGGCACTTCCCTTGCCATTGCTGGCAAACTAGATCTGCTCATAAATGAAAGGTATTATTATAGCAAACGTGGTATCTGTGTGGTTACATGGAACACCTGAAGTAAGTCTACAGTGTAGTTCACCACCACCCCCCCTCCCCAAGAAGCTGCTTTAGTGCCTTTGGCACTGCTGACACTTTCTGTGACAGTAACTTGTCCTGGCTGCTGCTCAGGACATGAAGCACCCACAGCACAGCAGGGAGACTCCCAGTGATTGTGCATGTTTGAAAACCCTGCCCCTTGATTTTTCAGCTCACGCTCTGTTAGTGGCAGTCCTGCCTCCCCCAGCTCAAACAGCTTGAGTTTAATTTCCTCTGAGGCAAAGACCTAACCCTTTCCAACCATCTAGCAGAAGTTCTAGAGTTTTCAGAATTCCTATTGGGATTCTGGAACACTTGTCCTAGTGCCCATGAGAGTCACAAACATGCAATAGAAATCCTCTGCTGTTAGGAGCTTTCAGATTTGATTAAAACCAAACTATTCACAGGGCCAAAATGAGTCCAGGAGACATTTGCACACAGTAATGAATTTCATGGGAAATTAGCCTCAGAATCAATACAAAATTGGATGCACGATGCTGGGTTTTGTGCTCATGGGGATTCCAGGCTACAAGAGATGTGATTTCTTGTTTTGTGACTTGCTGAAAGACTTTCAGAGTTTTGTGATTTGGCTGCTAATCAGTGTGTGACAGTGACATGCCTGATCAGAGCAAGGTTCAACAGAGAAGAACAGAACACAACCTTTTCCATCCTTAGGCCCTTATTCCTGTTCTGTGGGGAAAAACAAAACAAAGCAACCCAAAAAAACCCCAAACCCACAAACTACACCAGTGCTAGGAAATCTCCCCAGTGTAATGTTCTTCAATCCCAACGTATTACCCTGCTAATCTAACTCACTAACACACTTTGAATCTAAGCCTAAATCCCAGATGGGCTCTCTTCATCAGTGAAACCTGGCATCAGGGGCAGAATAGTTGCTTTAAAATGTAGAAAACATTTGAGGAATCAGTAAAGCAGAATTCCTTCAGTGTTCATTTCTCACTGGGAAACAAAGAAAGATCTCCAGAGAGACAAGATACATCCAAGTGACACCACCACCCTCTTCCATATTTTTCAGTGGAGCAATTCTATTTGCTCTGAACTTCTAGCAGCTTTTTAAGTATTTGAAAGAGGATCAGAATGGCCATGTCAAGGCACAGGAGCTGTACAACCACTCACAAAAAGTAGACTCACTAGGTTGATGTTGTTGGCTTCTATGTGCTCCAGCACGAAGCTGGCGAGGAGCTGTGTGTCCCATTCAACAGCAGGATTATCTGGGAGATCCCTGAAAATGAGAAAGGCAATTAGTCACTTCACTGCTGAGAACTTTATGAAGACCATGCCAGCCAAGTGAGATCCTCTTATCAGAGAATCAAATAAAGATAAGTTTATTTACCATATAAAACCAGTGAACCTTACTTAAGAGCCTTACAAGCTTGTATATTGGAGAGTTGAAAGGGACACAGCAGTTCCAACACCCTCCACGTAGACTTGCCAAGGTCTCCCTTGCTTCCTACCATTAAGACAGAATTTCTGGCAGCTTTACTTTAAGCAACATCAAATTTGTTCAATGATTCTTGTTCTCTATTCATCCCAATCACAGTTCTTCCTCTATTTAAAAATCTCTTTAAAAACACATTTTCCTGCAAGATTTTCCAATCACAATCTACTGGTGAATTACACATGAAAGGCAACAAGCAAACTTCTGCTCTCTCTTATACAGGAATGACCCATTAACCTCAACCAGAGGACAATAGGACCATAATTATACTGCATGGATTTGACAGTAATTCTGCATCTGTTTATTTTATGCTTTGCATAGCAAATAGGTATGCAAAGCATACTGTGACTCAAGAGTCTGCCTGGGTATGTTAGACTACAGACTCCTAGGGGCAGGGACCCTGAGCCAAATGCAAAATAACACCAGGCAGCCAACAGAATTTTTCCATATTTACACAACTGAGCACTGAATTTGACCCCCCAGTCATTATGTTTGAATGATGCCAAGCAAACATTGCTTGCAAAGTTAAAAAGGTTATTAGTAACAACAGGATAACACACAGCTGCTAAAGTCCAATAATGACATGATAAACTGGTCTTTTTCTCAGACTTTTTCCTTCCTCTGATAATTGCTGTGAGGTGGGTTAGCAGAAAAGTGACGACACAGCCACATGGGGCTGGATGGGAACGGCTGCAGCTGGTGGCTGCAGAGCAGGGACTCCCCTTCCCAAGGCTCCTCCTGCCTTCCTGACTCCCCAGACAGAGAGGACATCTGCAACACAACAGGAAAATGTCTCATTGGCACGTTCCAAAGCTCAGCCTGAGTCTTCAGAAGAGGTTTTCTGGCCACAGATTTTCCCACTGCTGTTAACAGCAGTAGTAGAAGAAAGAGCTTAATTACAAACTGACCGTTTTACCCATTGTGTTTTGTACTCCTGCTTAGCACAGGCCAAAATAATGTGCTACCAGACACCCCAGCAACAAGGGGAGGTGTTTCTACTCTGCTGTGCACATCCTAGCTCTGGTCTCTGTAGTGGTGTTACCAACAACAGAGATGTGTGTTGTCATTTGCAATTCCCTCTTGTATAGACAGCATCTTTGCCTGATGTATACAAGAGATTTCAATTTGCCACAGGAAAGATTCTCTGGTACATCTGGTGGTTGCCTCATCAGCTGAACAAACCTGCACCTCATATTCTCAAGACAACAACTTTCCCACCTCATGCTTGAAGAGGAATTGGCCCTGTTGACCTCAAAGGTATTACAAGTCCCATCACACATCACAGCAAGCTTTAGATGGAGCATATTTTATAAACATGCTTCAACTAAGACATCCCAGTCACCATGCACACCAACCAGCATCTAACTGCAAGTCTAACAGTGCCTCAGTTGTTCCAGTGGTACCTCTGAGGTTATGTCAAGGCTGAATTTGATAATATTGAAGTGGTAAATTAGTGTAAAAGAGATACTTCACTGGCTGGTTAAAAAGCAAATATATTCCCTTTTCTGGATGGGGATTAAATGGAATCATGGAGGAAGTGAAGAGTAAAACAGGAGGGATGCTCCAACAGTGAGAGGTCAGAAAAAAAAGTAGAGCTTGGAATTTATGATGTCCAGGAGGCTTTGGTGTCATAGCCACTGCACTCAGCTTTATTGGGCTGTCTCCAAAAAGGATGCTGGGTAGTGGAGCAGGTTTTAACTAGTTTAGACAGATAAAGATCACCCTCTTCAATGGAAATGAACAGCTGGAGGCAACGGTTTAGAATCCTTGGAAACAAAACAATCTGAAGGCATGAGCAAATTAACTCCATGAATACTGAACTGATTAAGCAGGAATATTCTGCAAAAAATTCTGCTTCTACTCACTTAGTGTGCTGCTCATGGAGAGCTCAGTCACTTGCAGTAAGGAAAAAGAATTCTTTTGTTGCATAATATAATCTGTCAGGCACCAAAGAAGCAGAAGCTGATCTTGGCAAGCAGGACACACATGTACATAAGCACATTCATCACTCAGGAATAGCCCCTACAGCCACTGAAGTACTGAGCTCATTCTGCAAACATTAAAAGTGACACACAGGTTAAATGACATAACCAAAGTCACCCAGAGAAGTGAGTAGCAAACTGGCAATACAACAATCTAGGTCACTCCAGAAAATTACTTTTCTTTGGGGGGGGCAAGAGTTTTTACTTCACTTTGTAAAGCAAAGAATTTAGGAGTTACCATGATAGTAGGGACCCCACTGAAAGTATGAGACCAATAACTTTCTGCCTGTACTCTGGATATCAATAATTGGGTCCAGGTAAGGATGACAAGGTGACTAAGAAAGCCAAATTCATATACACCATACAGCAATGCACATGAGACACATTCTGAAAAGGGATCTCTGTATCCCCCAGGAACTTTGTAGGAGCATACAAACTTTGAAAACTGCTGTAGTTCACAAAATCAGTACAAAATATTTTTTCCTAATGTAAATCAGTCTTCACCAAACCTGAAAAGTCTACTGACTTGCTGCACTAGTGAAGTTGCATTTGTTGTGTTTTTACCTCTAAGACTTAGTATCTGACATATTCAGCATCTGAATGGTTAACTCCAGGCTGCTGATAATGCCTCTGAGCTCAAGGTTGAAGGGCTGAGATAAAGAACTACAAAGGAGTGAAAATTAGCACATTCCTTGGAGCAGACTGGAGCTTGTCCCAGGAGACATGGTTCCCCACCTGCCCTCCCTGTCCTCTGCCCCAGAGAGCTCCTTGCTGCTGCTGTCAGTCACTGGGACAGATCAGGATATGAACGCTGCACTGGAGAGGCCTCCCAGGTCGCACTGCTGGAAGGTGCTGATGGGAAGGGTAGAGAAGTTTGGTCACTTGGCCTCATTTCCACCAAAATATTATGGTCTGGAAGTGATGTTTATGGGCATTCCACATGACTGATACTGAATGCAGGTGGCTGCTTGGATGCAGCCCTTGTTGAGCAGGGAAAAATAGGGAGATGCATAAAAGAAGCAAGAAAAATATTTTTAATGGCATAAGGCTCCAGAAATGTTGTTTTCCCAGCTATTTTCAGAGAAAGCCATGCTGTGCACTGTACAGGGAATCTACAGCTGTGCCAACAGATCTATAGACTGAAGAGAGAGAGAAATGAAGAACTGAGGTGTTGCAGTTGCTGCAGTATGGACCAGTATTTGTCTCTGCTCCCTGATTTCAGCAGGACCAGTCATGGGAAACACTGTGTTCTGAAAACTAGACCCTGCACCTTGACTTTTATCCATTGGGAGGGAGAACTGGAGAGGACTCCTAGTTTTCTTCTCACCTCCTTGCTTTCCTCCTTGCCAAGCTAAGCAGACAGAGCAGACACTGGCATCTGCAGCTCCCCTTACCAAGGTCTGCCTAAGAAGAATATGGTGGATGTCCTGGATATCCTGGCCCAGGCACCAGAGAGCTACAAGGGGGCCACAGCAAATCACATCAACACATTAAACCAAAATTCAACCTTGTGCAGATGTTGCCCAGCAGTCTTGCAGCTGGCTGAATGAAATACATGTTAAAAAACCACTGCCTGATGCCAGCTCCTCTCCAGGCCTGCTGTGGGCTGTGGAGCATAGCTCCTCTTATGCCTCAGCCTTGGCCATTAAAACACTGTGCATGTTGCCAGGAATGCTATCCCTGCCAGCTGCCTGGACAATTTTGTAGGAATGTTTGGGCTCAAGATGGCTAGATTCCTCTCAACTGGAAGGTCTTGATGGGCCAAGATTGAGATTTTAAACCTTCATAGATATTGCCAAATCACACCCTTCTTACATGATACACTGCTCAATTCCTGTCCAATATTCCATTGCTCACCTTCCACAGATCGTGTATATGTACAATCTTCTTGTAAAGCTTTCCATGGAATTTATTCTGCTCATGAACTATGTTCTCATGACTGCTCTAAAGGTCAAGTTAAACAAAGCAGGCTATACAATACCTAAAATGGCTTAAAAACCAGTGAATGGGCTGTCCTGTATTGGACATTTGCAGTTAGAATAATCCTTAAGATCAGTGCCTGCTGAAATCTGTTGACTGGGCAGTCCTCAGGCCCCTGGTGCAGTAGGAAGCAGAGCCCCTTGTTATGCGACAGGTCAAGGACAGGGACTGGCAGCACCTTCTATCTTGCCATGAAGCCTTCATAGGTGGCAACAGGCAAGGGAGTGGAGTAGCAATAGGGTTCCTTCTAGATGTTAGGTCTCAATAAATACGTTCAGAGACACCAGAGCAAAACTTTCAAGGTACTAATATGATCTTCCATTCCACTACATAGCAAAAGGGTCAAGATGAAAGAGCTTTCCCATTCCTTACTGCCTTTTTATCCCACAGCATGACCTTGATCAATGCAAGGCTAGGGACCAGGAAACATTTTTGCATAATTTCACCTCCTTATCCCTCCTCTCCCCAGTGAGTGATTTTATGTTATATCAGCACAAAGGTCTGTAAGTTGATGGTGGATTAGGGAGGAAACAGGTGAACTGCTGTGCTCCAGGTTCCCAGCTGAGAACAATGACCACAATGTGTTTGCTGGAACAAAGGATGCCCTTTGTCTGAAGTTAACTGGATGAAATGAACATCTGGACAATTGAAACTGGATCAAAAAGGAAAAGATCCCACAGACAAAATTACGTGAATGCACGATTAGTGAAAAAGCCACGTGATGACTCAAGGCAACCAGTGACCTTTCTATCAGAGCATCAAAGCAACTGAAAAACTGGTGTAAACGGAAATTATTTCATGCTCTCTAAAGTAGAATAGATA